CTCAGACATTCCCCCGCAGAGGGTGTCCATACACTGCAGCGACAGCAGCACACGAACAAGCAACTATGGGGCATTCAGAGCATAGCAAACGAGCAGTTACTGACCAACCCCAGGACCTCTTGGAATCCTTTCACACGTGCACGAGCTAGAGGAAATATATGTAAGGATAATATGTAGCGAATGGACGTTAATATCGCCGCTGCTGTTGCTGTAGCCAGACCAGCTGCAGTGAGAGCGGCTGGCGCCCATTATCACTGGCAATGTATCAAATGCGTTGAACGTGTTGGCCAGCGATCCGAAATCGAATGACTGCGTGGGGAACGCTTGGGCGACGAAGTTGCCGCTATCTTGCTGGTGTGTGTGTCTTACATTAGTTTGGGTGTCAGTGGCAGAAGCTGCTGCAGATTGTTCCAGCTGGAGCTGCTGCCTGGCTTCCTGGAGGCGAAGCCTGTTCTGAGCTGCTGCTGCCTCCGCACGCCCCGCGATAGCCTCCACTGATGCAGTGAGTGTGTCGCAGACAGCAGACCTGCGGGCGTATTGTATGTACAGCTGGCGCAGCTGTTCCTGCATTTCACGCTGCTGCTGTTCCTCAGCAGCCGCAAGGGCAGAATTCTGAGGACGCCCCAGCAACAACAATTGCTTGTTGAGCCGATCCGCGTTTTGCTCCGCTCCGCGGATCTTCTCCTTCAGCTCTTGCACTTGGGAGGCGAGCGCCTCGTTGCTCCTCTCCAGATCCAACAGGCCTTGGCGACTCCGATGCAGCTGCTCCCCCAGCAACGCCCTGCTACTGTTGCTGCTGGCAGGTATGGCAGCTGCAGCTGCAGCAGAACTCGAAGAGGAACCATATGGGGCCAAGACCGCTTGCAGGAACTCCTTGGCTTTTCGCCGCTCTCCAGCCTCTTCTTCCCCGTAGAAGCTCTGCACGGACACGAGGACCTTTCCTACGTGATCCTGCACTGCCTGAACTGCCTCTTTGCTGTGCCTCGCGCCACAACACCACAACAGGGTCACTTGCGGCAGGCTTGCGTTTCGCAGGCCCTAGCTATTACTTCTTGGGGCATCGTACCTTTCCAACTAGTGCGTTATACTGTGGCTGAAAGTGCTTCGGGAAGAGTCCCCAACATGTTGCATGTGGAAAAAGTCTTCCACAGGCGGCGCTCTCTCAGCCACCCCCCTAAGTGGCCGTTAACCCACAAAGTTTGTGAAATCTCAGAAGGTTTTTCTCTCTTGATCCCTCCTCCCTCCTCTTCGTTTGATGGGAGCTGAGCAGTTGTTTCTCCCGTCTGGCTAGTAATTTGACCGCGTAATGCCTGCCTCGTCGCATCCGCCAGTGTTTCAGCCAGGCGCAGCAACTCATAGACCGCATCCGCCTCTGCGCGGAAGAGGACCTGCAGTTCCAGAGCAACACCAACCCTCTGCAGCATGAAGGCAGCAATACGCTGCATCAGTTTGAGCTTGTCTTTCTGGGATTTCGCAT